TTCAAAACTTTATTCATTTGCATTTTTTGAATTGTTTCTATTTCTTTTAACCCCGCTTTAAAGAATTATCTTTATTTATGATTCCCTCTATATAAAAAAAAGTTCGACCTTAAAATACCCTTGAGTAATTGGGATTTGATGGTTCTTTATTGGAAATTTACATTTATTTTTTTGTTTTTCCTTTCAAATTTTATTATTTCTATTTTGAATGTGAACTATTAATTTTTAGTGTTAGGGTGCAATAAAGGTGTAATATCTTCTTTAGAGGTTGTATATTTCTTAATTATTATTATTATTAGAGTTTATTTTATACAATTATTATATTATTTAATCTGAAGCTGTTAACTAAATGTGAGTGTATCCTATGTATTTACTGTGATACTTTTCTTAAATGTGAGAAATAATTTTATGGTTGGCACATTTTGAAACAACTTGTGTTAAAACACCATTAAGTTACTTTGCAATTGATTGTATATGTGCAATTACAGTTTATACTATTAAACAACATGACTTCTTTATTAATAGAAAGTTTGTTTTTTCTGTTATTTTTCTTTTTCTTCATAGTCTGTCCACTGCTTAAAATTTAAAGCAGGTTCTTATTGCTTTTTAATGGCATTTTGATTAAAAAAATCTTTTAAAGTATTAGTGTAAAATCTTTTTTGATAAGAGGTTCACTAGACAAAACAAATTGGGCCCTTATCTGTCCATGAACAGGCAGAACTAGCTGCATGTTTATTTTTCCTTTCTGACTAAAATTAATCTAGCATTAGCCCTTCCATGCGCATAAGATACCAGTGTCCTTTTTAATATTTTTTTTTCTCAGTCTAATGACAAGCAAGTATTTTTTGGTATTTTCTAATTATAAACTACAGTCTAATAGTTACTTAAATTTTTTTTTAATTATATTGAAATTTTCTTTCAGATAATGTATCCGATATATCGGAATTATATTTGTACTAAAATATAAAATTAAAAAAAATAGTTCGAAATTTTTTTTTTATTCATATTCAAAACTTTTTCAATAATTGATTTTGTAAATAAAAAAAATTTCAATGATGCACAACTGTTACTCTGAGATCTAAATAAGTGAAATTTTAAAAATTATTGTTTGAAAGTGATCCAGATCTGGACATTTATTACAGAAAAACTGCATTTCATAACCATAAATTATTAAAATGCTAAGTCCCATATCCATTTATGAAGGGCCTTTTTTCTGGACACTTTTTAACAATCAATCAAAATAAAAAGAACTCATTTTTTCCCCTTATCATTTTTTTTTCAACATTTGCGACTTGTTGATAAGAATTCTCCGTTTTCAGCTTTTTCTTTTTACTCAAATTCCGATTTTCGTTCGATTTTGAATTTCAGTTACAGCGTGAAAAAAAATATCGCTTGTTTTTGTTCACGTCTCGCATAAAAAGGATTTTTACCTCCAAGAATCAGGCTTTTCATTTCTGAGTGCGCAAAAATGTCACATTTTTAAAAAAAATTGAAAATTCGAGATTGTCTAGCGGGTCATTCATTGATTATTCAAAGAGCGTGATTCGGAATTTACGGATCGCAATAATATTCCATTAAAAATGAAATCGACATTGTTAAAAACTACGTGGAAATACCAAACAGTTGAATGCGCTATTCGAAAATTCCCGTGTATGATAATGTTGCCTTAAAAAAACTATGAAAATCGGTTACAATAACTGACAAGAATGCGATCGTAAATCCACGTGCGATTGCGGGTGAATCGTCAATAATTGAGTGTGAATTGCGCGATTCGAAGTTTACCGATCAAAATAGAATCGTATTAAAACATTTAGATTTTAAAAACGAGGTGAAACTCCGTTTTAATAGGTATCGAAAAGAAAAAAAGATCGGAAAAATCACACGAATTCACTGTAGAATCGTGGCTAATAGAGTAGATTGAGAAATTATTACTAACTGAAATGCGTAATTCGGAATTTGCATCGAGATTTTAACTATGTAAGTGAAAATCTGTAACAAAATAACGCAAAACACGTGGATTTATTCGTTGCTTATTGAAATGGACGTTGATTATAGTCTATTTTTTCTCGAATTAGGATGTTTCGATATTTATTTATCTCAAGGACCTATTATCCTGAAAAATCTATTTNTGAGACATTGGCGACAACAGAGGTTAGATGTATGTGCTGAGTTTAAATAAATTATATGTTATAAAACTCACATTTAAGATTTAGATCAATTTATTATCAGGTCATAAGAGTGTTTTTTAATAAATAAATGTAGTGATTGTTTGATTTACAATTGTAAGGTCCTGGGTGTTTAATGTTAAGTTATACATTTCTTTAGAAATAATATTTGAAATATGCAAAGCAGGGCGGCATTCATTTCAACTTAAAAATCATCAACTTAACTTTCAATAACTATAGATAAATAAAAAACAAAAGTTTGATAAAAACTTTAAAAGAAATACTTTTAGAAAAATTCTTTCTAAATAATATTTAAATAAAACACAATCATTTCGCCTGAGTGATTCTGTAAAAAATTCTAAACTTTAAAATTTTACAAGTTAGGTGAAAAGTAAATATCTACAATTCGCGATCGCAACACTCGAATACGCCATCTGGGGAGAGACCGGTTTCATGCCTTTAGCCCTTCTCCCTTCCCTCTCCTCCTCTTTTCAGTTGTATAGGAATGTACTACGATATTTTCCCTTTTCTTAATATTTTTCCTTTTTATTTAATAAGAATATTTTTTAAAATTTCCATAATACTTTTCTTTAGAACTATGTTTAATGTAGTTTTCAGTTCCTTACAGTTTTTCTAGTTAAAAGATTTCAATCTATATGAAAATGAAGAGAGAAACTAACGTACTTCCTTCCTCTATGACTTTCCACACGCTAATGGGGAAAACATGTGAAGTGTTGCCATAGGAAAAGAGTTCTGCTCTACGGCCCCTGCAGCCCATTTCGATCGCCAATCAAAACGCTTGAATACGCCATCTGGGGAGAAGACCGATTTCGTGGTATGACCCTTCTCTCTCCTCGGTTGTATATGAATGTACTACGATATTTTCCCCCTTTCTTAATATTTTTCGTAATTACTTGTCAAAAATATTCTTTAAAATTTCTACGACGTTTTTTTTTTTTTTTTTTTTTTTTTTTTTTTTTTTTTTTTTTTTTTTTTTTTTTTTTTNTTTTTTTTTAGATTTTAGTTCAATATAGTTTTCAGTTCAATGAAAGCATACGAAGTGTTTCCATAGGTAGAGAGTTCTGCTCTATGACCCCTGTAGCCCATTTCGATTGCCAATGGCCAGCCGTCATCGTCCAGACGATGTCACAAGATGGCGGATAATTGGAAGGCTTGGGGCGAGCTAATCACAGGCCTGTTGTAGGGACCTCGGAGTTACGAGAAAAGTGGTGTCCATTCTGATGAAACAGTTCACAGAGACAGTCCCCGACCTGGTGAAGGCCATAACGCCGTCTCAAGACCATTATTTCAGACTTCATGCCAAAAGGGATAGCGACACTGCTGTTTCACAACCTGTATGCAGGAACAATCATTTCACAGATAACAATCGCCCAAAGACTTAACACAAATCACCTGTATGCCAGGAGCCCTGCAGTCCCTTTGACACAAAGCATAACACCTGTCTTGGACAGAGGATGTTTGGAGACGGGTTCTCTTCAGTGATTCAGTCTCGAAAGCGACTCGAGATTTGTTCTAATCTAGAATGAACCCGGAGTCGATATCGGACCTCTAACTTAGTCGAAAAAGACCATTATTGCGAGGTGGTCTGGGCAAACTTCTTGGCAGACGAGTATATCGACCTTCATATGTTCGATAGAGGTACTCTGCAGACCTTCAGATCCGTGGTACAGAGACGAGAACCTTGCACCCTAAGCGAGACTTTTCCGCGGAGCTTATCGACCAAATTTCATCTTTATGGATTATGCCTGTCCACACAGGGCTCAGTTGATGGACGAATGCCTCTCATCGGAGGATATTCAACGATTAAAGTGGTCTGCGATGCCCCCTGATTTGTATGGGACTCCTTCAGAAACTCAATTGCAGCTCGAAGACCCACTCCAACGTTCATCGATGAGCTCAAGGGTGCAGGAAATGTATTCGTTTGCCACAGGTATTGATAGGGAGACTATTTTTATTTTTTTTTAATATCTAAAGCGACTATTTTTGGAGTTTTATCGAGGCAGCCCTGGATAGAAATAGAAAAAATGAAATCATTAAAAGCAGTTTTCGTTGATGGAAATTGAAAGAAAATGTTAAATTAGGTTCTGGTTGAATAAACTGTCTTTTAAAACTGTAATTTCACTTTTCTGGTTTGATGCTGACATTTCCCCCCAATTAAATAGAAAACTGTTCTGGAGTAGTGGGTGATCGTAACCGATTGCTGTAATCACTGTGAAAAAAGGTATACACTCCCAGGGTGAGTTGGGAAACTTTATATAGTAATCGCCGTACCTTCCAATGAACGTCTGACTCAGCCATAATCGTTTCAGGAGATTAAGTTGCCGCGTGGCCATAAATGAAGTCGTGACCGTATTTAACAATGTTGAAAGGGTGAGAAAGAGGTATCCGTTGGCTGTGGACAGGGTTCGAACTAAGCACTTTGTAGTGACATGCTGTAACCAACATAAAAGAGGGGTATACTTCGACTGAGTTAGCAAGCGTTATATAGTACACTCTTCCTTCATTAAACGAAAAAATCTGACTTGTTATCAGTCGTTTCGCAAGATAAAGTGGGTGCCCATAAGTGAAGTTACCACATGTGGGAAGAAATGTTCGTTGGCTGTCAGCAGAGTTCTAACCAAGGACTTTTGTGCCCCTTTAACCACCACGGATAAGGGTACACACACCCTTAGTAAGATGAGTTAGGAAACTTCATGTAATAATCGTCATTCTCTAAATTATAAGTCATACTGACTTAATTTTTGGTAAGGATTCCAAAAGCGTGTAACAAAGGAGGAAATTGTAAAAAACCTTTCTTTTTTTCCCAAAAAAGAATTGATACACACAAATAGCTTTTAATGACTCTTTACAGCTATTTACAGTTAACTAAGCACTTTGTTGTTTTCATTTAAATAGCAATATGTTTTTATACTAAATAAGTTACAAAAATTTCATAAAATAAATTTTTCCCATGATTGAAAAAGGAAGAGGATCTGCAGCTAGGTAAATGAATTTTAGACAAAAAAAATACTTAAGTGAACTTCAAGCTGACCTAAATATACAAATCTTAGGATTTGAAAAGCAATGCTGCTTAAAAATTCGAAGTAAGAGGTTGAAAGGGGTAAAATCAGGAATATTTCAATGCACCATGCAAACCAGATTATTTATTACTTTGATCTGATATTTTTGAAGAATTATTATGAGTTCTATATCACCGTTTAACTCATATTAATGTTAGTTTTTCTGTTCATGATTTCAATTCTGTGCTGCATCTGCCTTGTTCAATCTCTTGCGAAAAGGCAACATTTTGTAATGATTATGCTCGGCTAATTTGATATTTTTTTAGTTTTGACTATCACTGCGGTAGTATTTAACTATCACAGTAATCTGATTTCAGATCCAGGATGTTTATAGTTTTGATATATTATGAGGAGCAAGATTATGTCCTGTTTCTTTAAATGTGTTTAAGAAAGCTTAAAGTTGTTTGTCGAGTTGTAAGAATTATAGAGTGAAAACAAAGTATAAAACCCTTTTTTCTATGATACTATTCCTGATTTCTACTATAGACTTTGTTTTCACTTGCCTTGATCTAAATCTCTTTATTTTTTCACGTTTTGCTTTGCTATCTGTGAGCAAATTTGTTTGCCATTAGCTTCATTTCCACTTGTTTTTTCATCTTTTCTATTATTTGTGAATTGCGCTGATGAAGAGTGTGTAGCAAGCTCAAAACACTTGTCATTTGCATTTTAAAGGATTACAAAATATTGAAGTTCTATTAATAAAATTATTTTATTGGGACTATTTATCCTCTTTTCATTTTCTGACGCTCACCGATTTTGAAACGTGCTTTTTCTTCTTTCAAGCAGGGCTTGCTGAACCGGTTAAAAATTTCTTTCCTGGCTAAAAAGAACAACAAAAATTGAGGCAAATATTAACAGAGAAAAGGGCCAAAAGATTCCTTGCATCACTTTTGTTTACGTACAAATCAAATATAGCAAAGCTTTATGGCCGTGTTGCGAATGTGGTTGAAAGAGCCCTAGTATTGAACATTTGAATGGAGGAGACTGCTTGCCTGTCCTTGGCCATTTTTCTTTCCAGTTCCTTTTTCTTTTGAGCTTCTTTGAACCTTCTGCGCAAAATCGGGAAATAAATCACAAGGTAGACACATCCAAGAAAATCGATGCCGTCCACCAAGGATATGCCGATCCACATGCCTAGGTAGCCACCCACGTTGCTGAAGAACTCAATATCCTGAAATCAAACGCATGTTGTTTATTATTATTTGAAATGTTATTATAGTTTGTCTAAAATAAGAAATCCTTCAGACATTCGTTTGGACCTGTGGCGGTGACTATGGTAACGAGGTATGATTATTTCAAGTAGGAGTGCGGGGTCACTGTTTCGGAGTGATGTCGGCGGGAGAAAGGATATCTTTTTCTTCGGTCTATTGTTATAGTCCTAGAGTGAAGCTACCCTCCCTAAAATGCGCCATTCTTGTTTCCATAGCACCAGACGGCCTCAGACTTTGTGGCGGGAGGAGTTCTTAGCTTAGACAGACCATAACTAGAAGTATATTTGCATGAAGGTAAATATGATCTTAGCACGAAAGTGACGTGCAAAGTATAAGACAGCTAAATAACTTATAGGATTTTCACTTAAGATCTCGTGCTAAGATCGTTACGGCTCGAAGGACTCGTTTCCGTTCACATTTACTCATTTAAAATTACAAACTAGTTTAAGATGATCAAAATAATATTTCGTTCATTATTAAATTAAATAAATAAAACCACTTAAAGTAGTGGCTTTTAATGAGAAATATCCGTTTTATTTGACTCTTTATTTATTGAATGATTCCGTTTCATGGAAGAAGTTTTATTCTGATTCCGATGAAACTGAAATTGATAATTTTTTTCTTCTCTGATAGCCACCTTCAAATCACAATTAAACTAAAGGTTTTGTTTTATATATATATTTATAGAATTCTGCATTGTAATTTATACGAGCACGAAAAATATTAAAGCCAAGTTTTTGCCTTAACTTGGAGGCGTCTGTTATAAACATTTGTCAACTCTTGTTTCCTGCGGCAATTAAACAAGTTTTGATGTTTCCTATGCCACCTTCTTCAGTAGTTATTCGTTTGACTTCGAAAGCGTTTTTTTTTTCTCGCTGATTTATTTATTTACTACCTCTAATATGTATGCTGTTTTTTTTTTTTTTTTTTTTTTTTTTTTTTTTTTTTTTTTTTTTTTTTTTTNTTTTACAATATGATATAAAACATAATTTTATGATATAAATCTCAGCATCGCAGTAAATAATCAATTATATTCGCGGTTTGGAATTACTTGAAATCTCAGATCATATGATTGTTCGTAATCATGATTTCTTTTCAACACAATTACGCAGTATTCGTTAACTAAAATAGCCAGCACTGTTATCACAATTACAAGGATAACTGATTATCAAATGATCATTATTTGTTACCAACTCAATTGGCGGACATTCTCCTATGTTAGATTTAACAGAATTTGAAACTAACCTGCATTCTTGGATCGTTGCTCGTCTTAAGCAACCGAAACTTGGTGAATGAAACAGTCAAGTTGATTCGAGATCGACTGCGGAAAAAGAATCATCAATAAGTTTTACAATCATATACATTTATTTTAAGTTTTCTTAATAATCAGTTAGCTTAAAGTAATATTCAAGTAGCAGTCAATCTTAAATTTCCTCTAACTTGGCTGCCACAACTGCATGGTCCCGAGTTATCTCTTTTACCATTCATTTGATTACAATGAAATTTGGCACACTGATAGTTGAAAACACGAGGAATATCACTATCGATATTAGAATATTCTTCTCGAACCATTTCGAAAGAGGTGTGCGAAAAGTGGAATTGTCTTTATAAGTTTAGCATTACACTATGTTTCAATTCAAGCTTCAAAAAGCAAAGCACTCCCGCAACAGCCAGCTGTGGGCCCGATGCGTCATTGTGGTTAAGTCTTCACAATTTCGCGACTAACGACGTGACTGTGGCCAGCACTGAGCACACGTTGCCTTTACTTCCCACACAAGCTGATACAAATCGATCTGACGCTGGATGGGCTTAATGCCACCTCTGGGGATCGAACACCAGTTCTGTACCGTGAGTAAAAATTTTTGGTACAATTAGTTAGAGTTTAGGCCGAAAACAACTAAAAAACATAAAGATCGTATAGTTTTAACAAAATTAACATTAGTACACAAAAGAGAAAAAAAAATATTAAATTAACCTACATTTGCCAAAAGGTTCGAGCCAAAAAAAAGATTTATTTATAAAAAAAAATCACTTACCTAAAGCTTTAAAATACACATGCTGAAACAAAAAAAATACCCCCCCCCTTTCTTCATTACCTAAAACATGTTTAAATACAATGGAAAAAAAAGGAAAACCAATATTTTATCAAAAGTGACTCAAAGCATTAAGGAAGAATAAAGACATTTATTGTTGAGTAAAATTGCATGGTGAATAAAATTTAGGCTGACATATTATAAGTATAAATTTCTCTTAGAGATGATTAAATGCAAATGGTTAGCAATTGGTAATTTACATAATCTGGTGACTTTATAATTTAGTTAAACATGAGATGGAAATTAAGTGTTCATAGTCTATTTTAACTGGAGTTCTATGGAATATTAAAAAAGCGAAAGCAATCATACCACGTGCCTCCCTGCACGGACAGGATGGTATTTCAGGTTGGTTACACGGTCTTGGGCATCCTCATTTCCACATATGGCGAATTACACATATTGTGCTCACATGGCACGTTGTCAATAGGCTTCCACATCGCTTCTCTTTCCACTCGTTAACACGCCGACAACGAAGAGAGCTCCGACGTGCAGTTCTTTAGCAATCAGGCAAAAGGAATTTTTTTAGCCCACAGCATGCACTCCTTTTTATACATATTTCAACAAAAATACCAATGCCAACACTTTGTAACTCTCAAAGAGAAATAATTTTCGAAAAATAATACCATTGATTTAACCATAATCAAAAAATAAAAATAGTTTGCATATTGGTGAAAAATCTCATTAATTTAACAAAGCTTTAAAAAAAAAGTAATAGAAATAAATTAAATCAGCAGAAAAAAACAACTAAGCTGAATAAACTGAAATTAAGTCATGATTGATGCTGCAACCTGTCTGCTAAAAAAGAAACTAACTGAACAAATGTTTTAAAAAAAACAAACCTGTTCACTATTATTCAAAGAAACAGTTAAATAAATCTTTAAAAAGAAAAAGTTATTAGTCTAAATTTTAAATTAAATTAAATACCTAAAAAAACTGAACTCTACAAGTAAGAATAATAAAGTTTACCAAAAATAAAAGAAATTTAAAAAGTTAAAGGTAAATAAAACATGTAGAATTTTTGAATTCTACAGTTCTTCACAATGACAGTTGAGTGCCGTAACCACTGAGCCATAGCTGCTCAAGCTGCAGGTAACNTGAAAACACGAGGAATATCACTATCGATATTAGAATATTCTTCTCGAACCATTTCGAAAGAGGTGTGCGAAAAGTGGAATTGTTTTTATAGGTTTAGCATTACACTTTGTTTCAATTCAAGCTTCAAAAAGCAAAGCACTCCCGCAACAGTCAGCTGTGGGCCCGAAGCGTCATTGTGGTTAAGTCTTCACAATTTCGCGACCAACGACGTGACTGTGGCCAGCACTGAGCACAGGTTGCCTTTTCTTCCCACACAAGCTGATACAAATTGATCTGACGCTGGATGGGCTTAATGCCACCTCTGGGGATCGAACACCAGTTCTTCACAATGCAGTTGAGTGCCGTAACCACTGAGCCATAGCTGCTCAAGCTGCAGGTAACTGGTTTTTTTCTCAATAATTTAAAAAAGAAAAGCTATTTGATGAATTTATGCTGTAATTGCCAATTATTCTTCTTTAGTGCTTCGGTAGCCCTGGGTGGGCCCTAATCTTCTCCAGGAATCTTTACTCTTGGCTTCTACTCTACAGTTCTTACCAGTGGTGTAGTTTTAATATATGTTCGAGGGGGGTTATCGGTCATCTCCTTCTAATATATATATATAAATATGAGTGTGTGTAAAATGATGCAGTTGGACCGAGCAGGAAAACAGACANACTGTATTTATTATTAAATTCTACATTAAATTACCTTCAATTTGATATAAAAACGTTTGTATTTAAGTGAAAATTAATATATTCTACAAGCAAAGTTGAAAAACATGAAACTTTCAAAAAGTGTCCACACTTTTGGCCACCACTGTATATATATGTGTGTAAAATGATGCAGTTGGACCGAGCAGGAAAACAGACAAAGGATTTTAATGAAATCAAAGTAACTTTTATTTAACCGAACTTTACTTTTTACTTTAACCGAAAATGTCTCTATTTTTGCTCCAAATTTGAAAAATTTGGTGCAAAAAATTAACTTAAGTTTCCATAGTTATTGATTTAGATGCAAAAGACCACATATATCGAGTGTGATGATCAATTACTAACGTTAAATATTTTTTGGTAGAATTGTAATAATTAAAACCACCTACACTATCGATTGCAATTATTTCAAAATGTTTGTCAACTAGGGGGCATTTCCTGAAGTAATCCAAATCTTTTCTGCCTAGGTTTTTTATTTACTTGACAAGTACGACAGTGTTTATTAAAATTTGTAATGTCAGAAGTAATATTTTCCCAATAATAAACAGGAGTAAGTAAATTAATAGTTTTTTGAATTCCCCTATGGCCAAATTTTTTATGAGTAATTTTAAGTAATTTATGCAGTAAAGAAAATGGAACAACAATTTTGGTAAAACCCTTTTTCCGTAAACACAAAACATTATCTATTTCAATAAAATTTCCAGTTAAATGATCATTTTGTTGGGCTTCGCGAATATCGTCTAATTGCGAAAGATGTGAAGAATGGCTTACATTATTTAAATCAATATCACTATTGTGTTCAATATTGTCAGGAATATCTCGGGATAACATGTCAGCTTCAAAGTTCAAGGTGCCTTTTGTGTATTTTATATCATAAGCATACATACTACTTAATAGTAAAGACCAGCGGAACAATCTACCTTTCAGATTTTTAACATTTTTTAACCGAACTAAAGCCGCATGATCTGTATGTATGGTAAATTTATTTCCAAATAAATAATGATAAAATTTGTTTAATGCATCAACAATAGCAAGACATTCCAGTTCTGTGATTGCATAATTTTTCTCATAGTCTCTAAGAGAACGAGAATGGAATGCTATTGGATGTAAGACACCTGAAACATCTGGCTGTTTCAAAATTGCTCCAACACCACTTTGACTTGCATCAACAAAAATATGACATGGTAATTTAGGGTTAAATATTTTCAAAATTGGTTTACAAACTAAAGCATTCTTTAAAATTTCGAATGCTTCTTGACATTTGGGAGTCCAACACCAGGTTGTATTTTTCTTTAAGAGATTATTTAAAGGTGCTCTAATTTTAGCATAATTATTTATAAATTTATTATACACATTTATTGAACCTAAAAATCGTTGAAGAGATTTAACATTAGTTGGAGGTTTCAAGTTTTTAATTGCTTCAATGTTGTTGTTATCAGGAGTTACTACACCATTAGCTATTTCATACCCTAAAAATTATGCACAGTATAT